CAACCGAGGTACATGCCCTTGACCAGAATCGAACCCAGGACCCTTCAATCTGTGGGCTGACACTCTATCCACTGAGCCAAACCAGCTAGGATGTAATAATATATCTTAATGAATCCCACCTGCAATCAGAAAGCAAGAGAGCACTCACATGCAAAGCTTACACTGCGGTAAAGTCATTTCAACAACTAACGTGGTTTGAATCACAAGTCTTGCCAAGCTGTGCTGTCAAAAGTCAAAACAAGAAGCAAGACCTCCATCCCCACACAGATGTGCAGCAGACATATTTTCCAAGTGCCAGCAGTGGTTGTTTTTTTTTTGGGGGGGGGGGGAGGGGGACCTCAAAACAAGTGCAAAGGAAATTTCCATATTTCAAAATCCACTTAATTGTGCAATTGAGGAGCTTCTGCCTACCCTTCAACAGCAAGTGATTAATCCGAAATGTAATGACAGGCTAACAGGCCAGTCTCAGGAGAAGAAGCTCAACAGAATTCTACAAATGCTTTCCAAGCAATGAGTGTATCCAATTAAAATCATGTGCTCACAGATCGTTATCAGTACTTGGCAGCACTATTTAAATGAAAAGACATTTCCCAAGATGAAATATATAAAATCTCATTACAGAACAGCATTCACAGATGAACATTTGCAACAGATTTTGATAGGAAATACGATCACAGTATAACCTTTGATTGCACTCTGGCTTGTCCTGCTCATCGCATAAACACATCCTGACAACCAGACGCTGGGTTCCGGAGGGCGAGGTATGAATGCGGCAGGAGGACAAGGCTTTGGAGCGGAGCAGGCTGGGGCTCTAGTTCCAGGCTGCCCGCTGTGCACCTGGCCACCTGGGGTCCCTTCCGCTCTCTGCATTTCACCGTCAGTAAACTGCCAGAGTCGGGCCAGGTTACAGGTGAGGCTCGAGGCTCAGAGAGCTTGAGGGCTTGAGGGCTCTGCAGGCGTCGCTCGGCTGGCCTGTCACTGGACTGGATCTGGGCCCACATATCCAAACCTAGCACATGTTCCACTAGACTCAACTTCTCAGTGGCCCTGAGTTTATCCCGTGGGATGGTCACATATGCTCAGGACGCAGGGGTCCTTGCGGTTAGGGAGGGATACTGGAGCGGGCTCAGGGGGGCTCTGCTGGTTAAGTATTCGGGAACTTTGCCAGACCATCGTTAACTGGGTAGCTTCAAATCAACTGTGATGAAAGTGTTTACACCATGGAGACCTACAGATTCAGCAAACTGGGGACTTTATTAAATTTATTTAATTCCATCATCTTTTATTCCAACACAGTATTCATTTTTTAATTTAAATTCTTTATTCTTTAAAGTATTACATTTGTCTCCTTTATCCCCCATTGACCTCTCCCTGGCCATTCCTCCCCCCCGCCCCCCTTCCCGCCCAGCACATGCCCTCACCACCCCTACTGTCTGTGTCCATGGGTAACAAACTAAGGACTTTGTTTTTCTGAGAGCCAGTTACCAGCACACCACTGGAAAACTGAGATGGACAGCCAGCCAGAATCCCAAAGTTGCAGCTGGGTTTGGAGAAATTGGGTGCGTTCAACTCATAGAACTTCAGGGTCATCAATGATGTCTGAGACCATATAGTCCATCCCCATATTTCACATAAGGAGAAAGTGAGGCCCAGAGGGAGGAGATAGCCTGTTCTTTGCAGTAATGAGTGGCAAAGGAGCCCAGAGTGGGTCCAAGTCCCACTCCAGTCCCCAAAGCCCAAACGCTGCTGCTAAAATGGAGAGATGTGAACGACCCTGACTCCTTAGTTAACCCAAGATTACAAGCGTAGAAGGCAGCAGCCTGGCCCAGAGGCCAGTCCAGGTTTCCATGGGGAAACCTTCGAAGGGACTCTTCCGTGTTCCCTGCAGGGAGCTCACCTTGGCCAAATGAACAGCCAGCTTGTCCCTGGCATCCTTGGTGTCCTTCAGCCCGTTCTTCAATGCCGTGTCCACCACGTCGCATTGCTTGCGCAGGTCGCTGGCCGTCTGGGACAGGACTCGGTCCACCAGGGACTTCAGCATCAGGGAGTTGTTCCGCTGCTTGTCAGCCTTCTCCACGTTGGTGTTGGAGAAGTCCAGCCAGTCTTCCAGGCTCACAGAGCTGAAACAGACCCAGGCATTTGTTCACGGAGGATCTGGGCTGGGAAGGGGGGCAGGGAGGGGACGAGCTCCTGGAAACCCCCTGGAAGCTAACCCGACCTTGACCACCAGAAGCACCTAGAACAAGCATGTCAAACTCAAAGGCACACACGGGCCAAATAAACAAGGTTTAAGTGTATGTGGGCCACACAAAAACAAAAGCTCCCATTTTCATAGAAACGTAGGTTTATTTCAATAGAGACATGCTGAATGCAAAGGGCTGCAATAAATGAGTCATCGTTAACATAAAATAATAGAACATTTTAATAAAAATAAATATTTTTTCTTGAACATAAACTTACCAGACAACTGAATAACTGCACAAATTAATAATAAAACTATTCTTGTTCTCCGAAAGCAAAATATTTCCTGTTGCACACACTAAACAAGTCAGTCCAAGACTAATGACGTGGCAATCAGCTGCTGAAATATTTGCTGCTAGTATTAGTGGAGCAAAATGGTGCGCCTGCGTGTGAGGCGCGTAAGGGAAATGAATGCAACACGATGATAGTAATCAGTCATTAGTGAATGTTATAGTTCATTATTAATAATTATGTATAACAGGATATTGTAAAAATTATGTTACGAAATTTTTATTACAAAGTGTTTTACATTATGTTACATTGGCTGGGCCACAAAAATATTCGTTGTGGGCTGCATGCAGCCCACAGTCCGCGAGTTTGACATGCTTGACCTAGAATGTTTCTTCATCTCCAGGCAGAGCGAACAGTGGTCAGTGGCAAGAGATGTCACTTTGGGGAAACCTACCTATTCTATGCCAAGCAATGCGCTGGCATTTTACAGACATTAACTCATTTAATCCTCATGAGGGCCTAGTGAGCTAACTTTCATAACCCTATTTTACAGAGGAGGAAAACTGAGGCTCAGAAAGAGGCAGTAACTTGGTCAAGATCACACAGGTAGAGACAATTTGAGCATTGAAATAAACAATGATAGTAACAGATTATATATAACACACTGAATAAAATAGGATACCATGAGTCCATACTGATATCAATAAATTGCTAGCTTGATAAGGAACTGCTTTATATAACAACACTGATGAATCTCAAAATGTTGATTGGAAGAAAAGTGACAAAAATAGATAGTATATGATGCTACTTAATAATTGTAAAAGCAGACAAACCTATTGGAAGTCAGGATGGATGTGGTCATCTTTGGGGAAGAGAGGGGGGTATTGGCCAAGAAGGGACAGGATGGGGGTTTCCGGGTGGCGGTAATGTTTCATTTCTTGACCTGGTTGGTGGTTTCATGGGGGTTGTTCACTGTGATTAGCCTGCTGCTGGGATGATGCGCTCGGCCTGCCTGCCTGCCTGCGCAGCACGGGGGCACGAGGTAGCAGGGAGGAGCACAGCGTGGCCAGGCCAGCAGGCGGGGACCCACTCACTTTGGTTCAACCCTCACGACATTCTCAGAATATCTGATGTTTGGCGAGTTGTTGTTGAGTGAGAAGCAGATATCATCAATGGTCAGGGCCACAAACTTGTCTTTCAAATCCTTTTCGAGATAGTACTTTGCAGAGCGGTTCAGCCTGAAGGGAGAAGGGAAAGGTTTCTCCTTCTGGAAGGCCCAGATGGCACCTACAGTTTCTCGGGAGGCCCTGGAAAATGAAGCTACAGCTCAGTCTAGTACGGATGGCGTCACTTCCTCCCCTTTCCATCACTTAACCCCCCGCCCTCCCCATGACAAATTAACGTAACCAAGCCTGGACTTCAACATCCTCCAGCTGTGGCATTTTCTCATGTCACCACTGTGGCATACTCTATGTGAGAGGTCCGTGCTAGGAAAAAACACCTCGAGTGTCCTCCAGTTTATAGGCAGGGCTGACATCCGGCCCCAGCCCCACCACCACCAGAGGGAGACTGGCAGGTACACGAGGTTGTCCAGGCCTCATTCTGAGTGTTCCCAAGCCTCCTCAGGCCATGGAAAGTGCTCCTAGGAGTACGGAACCCCGTTCTTTCTGTGCCATGGAGCCCAGCCTTGGTGGGTGCTGCCTCTCTAGGTACGCCCAGTGGAGATGTGGGAGTGGCCCCGAACAGCCATACCTGATCTGCTCGGTGGTCTCCTCCAGGGTGCGGGTCAGCAGGGCTATCACCCCCTGGATCATCTCGTACTCCTTCAGTAGCTCCTCCTCGACTTCATCATGCACCAGGTCGATGCCCACTCGCTGCTCCCTGCCCAGAGAAAGGGGCAGGTCACCCAACGTGCGGAGGGAGGCAACGCCATATCTGCTAACATCTGGACATTTAAAACCATCTGGACAACTGGTTTGAGGAGCACCCACTCTGGATGGATGGCCTGGTCGGGGATGTACACTAGTTGGGTCTTTGCGCCTTGAAACAAATCCAAAACGCAATCAGGAAAAATTGATCGATGGCTGGTCCCTGGTCCGAAAATGCCAGATGGACATTTCCCCTCGACTTGGACATCAGTTCCGAAGCCTTGCCCATCTTTCTATTTAGTGGAAACATTTCTTTTGGCTTATAACTTCAAAGACATACGTTTCCTTCCTCGATCCTAGTCCCATCTTTTGACCAGGATTGGAATCCAGAAAGGTGCTTTATAATAATAATAGCAACATCCGTATTACCCCCACCACTGAGCACTGCTGTGTGACAGGCTTTGTGCTGAGCTCTTCCTGAGAATGTTCTCAATGAGCCCTTCGAGCACCGGCGAGGAAACTGAGTTTCAGGGAGGTTAGCCCAGGACACAGATCTGGGCATGACGCATGCTTTTTTTAATGTCAGAGATTTTGTTTCTTTTTTTTAAATATATTTTTATTGATTTCAGAGACTGAGTTTCAGGGAGGTTAGCCCAGGTCACAGAACTGGGCATGACGCACGCTTTTTTTTTTAATGTCAGAGATTTTGTGTGTTTTTTTTAAATATATTTTTATTGATTTCAGAGAGGAAGGGAGAGGGAGAGAGAAATAGAAACATCACTGATGAGAGAATCATTGATCAGCTGTCTCTTGCACACCTCCCACTGGGAATCAAGCCCACAACCCAGGCATGTGCCCTGAGAGGGAATTGAACCGTGACCTCCTGGTTCATAGGTCGACACCTCAACCACTGAGCCATACCGGCCGGGCATGACGCATGCTTTTAATCACTGTGCTGTAACTCTCAAAACTGACCAGTCACTGCCTAATACCTGGTATTTTGTTCTTTTCTACCTTGCATGATAGTGCATGGGAGGCACGTAGTAGCACCTACTCAATCAACTTAGCAACATCTACATTCTATTCACGCTCAGGTGTAGACTTGAGCTGACAGGATGTTGGCTTCTTTCATGGGGATTTTCCCTTTGCTTCACAAACTCTCTAAGTCTGGCTGGGGAGACTGCTGCCTGGTGGGTGCAGAGGGTCCTGGCTATGCTCATTGAGGGAGGGCTTTTCAGGAAGAGGGAACAGAGTGGACTGAGCCATGGTGTGTCAGGAAACTGGGAGTCGCTCAGCACACCTAAGCACATCCCGCTGTTGGGGATGAGGTGCGGGCCTGGAGGTCACTGTGGGCCCAATCATGATGAACTTTGTTTGCTCAGCTAAGAAGTTTGAAATTGATCTTGAAGGTACTAGGGTATGGGGTTGCAATTATTTTAAACATGTTAAAGCATGAGGGTGACCTGTAAAAATCTGCATTCAGAAAAGTTCACTCAAAAGCCAGGGTGGCCCGGCCAGCATAGCTTAGTGGTTGAGCATCAACCTATGAACCAGGAGATCACAGTTTGATTCCTTGTGAGGGCATATGCCTGGGTTGCAGGCTCAATGCCCAGCATGGGGTGAGCAGGAGGCAGCCAATCAGCCAATCCATGATTCTCTCTCATCATTGATGTTTCTATCTCTCACTCCCTTCTCCCTTCCTCTCTGCAGTCAACAAAAATATATTAAAAAAGAAAAGCCTGGGTGGAGGATGCGCTGGATTGGAGGGGACTAAGCTGGTGGCAAGGAGACCTGTGATGGCATGCCATCTATCACTGTGACAGGGACAGGTCTGAAATGACCATTAGCCCAGAGTAGATACAATCATCTACTCACAGGACTTAGAGGAAAGAAATTAGAATAGAAATCTATGCTTGCACAGTGCTCTCTGGACACAGTACTTCTGTGTGATTCTGCGTATAGGAGTAGACTTCTTGTCCTCTGGTAACTGCAGTACCTGCTCTGCATACCCGAAATAAAGACACCATTTCCTAGTTATTCGTGGTGTGACCATGTGACTAAGTCCTGGTCAACAAGATGCAAGTAGAAATGGTGAATGCCAAACCCTAATTATTCCTACCTGCTGGAATGTAGGCACAATGGCTGGAGCTCCAGCTGCCATCTTGAGTCACCAGGTAACCTTGGGAGTGAAAGCCATGTGCAGTGGAGCAACAAAATAGAGAAAGCCTGGCCCAGCCGGTGTGGCTCAGTGGTTGAGCATCGACCCATGCACCAAGAGGACGCTGGTTTGATTCCGGTCAGGACACATGGCTGGGTGCAGGGCTGATCCCCAGGGCGGGGGGCAGGAGGCAGCCAATCGATGTTCTTTCTCTCTCATCCTCTCTCATCAATGTTTCTCTCTCTCTCTCTTCCTTCCTCTCTCTCTAAAATCAATTAAAAAGATTTTAAAAAAGAGAGAGAGAGAGAGAGAGAGAGCCCAGAGCCCTGACACTGTGACACACCATGCCAACCCTGACCTAGTTCCAGATTCTTAAATGGGAGAGAAGAAGCTGCTATCTTATTTCAGTTCAGTGTTATTTTTGTGGTTTTCTGATTACCCACAGCCAAACCCAGTCCTATGCCGGTTTGATTCCAGTCAGGACACATGGCCGGGTTGCAGGCCTGATCCCCAGGGGGGTGTGCAGGAGGCAGCCAATTGATGTTCTCTCTCATCAAATGTTTCTCTCTCTCTCCCTCTCTCTCTCTTTCTTCTTTCCTCTCTCTCTAAAATCAATAATAAACATTTTAAAAGAAAGAGAGAGAGAGCCCAGAGCCCTGACACTGTGGCACACCATGCCAACCCTGACCTAGCTCCAGATTCTTAAATGGGAGAGAAGAAGCTGCTATCTTATTTCAGTTCAGTGTTATTTTGCGGTTTTCTGATTACCCACAGCCAAACCCAGTCCTAACTTATATTTAAGTTAGTCAAGGGCAGAGTTTAGACAAGAACCCAGTCTAGTGCTGCGTCCACTGCCCGGCACCACGGGCATGCCGAGATAATTTCAGGCTCTAAAAGAACACATGCTCATTTGCCTCGTTCTAACCCACCACCCAGCACGGTCAGCTCTCACTACCCAGCATTTCATTTCTCGTAACAGATGATTCGCCGGAGGGACCTTCCCTCCTACCTGTACTCCAGGCACCTCTGCGTGATGTGCAAGGGCTCTTTCAGGCTCTCCAGGGCTTTCCGCAATCTGGTCTGATAGGCGAGTAGATCTTCGGTCGCATATACAAGCTGCTCAAGTTTGTCATCTAACTCCTTCTTCCAGAATTTGACTTCCTCAAGTCTCTGTTCTGAAGCCCACAGAGAAGTTACAGGAGGGTTAATCTACTCCCAATGCAGCCAACTTTTGGATTAGAAACTTTAAGACTATTGCAAACGTCTTAATGAGATGTTCTTTTCTTCTTAGAACTTCTTGGGGAGGGGGGGAAGGAAAATACTTCTTACATTCACCATCAGATTAATCCAAAGATCATTCTACACTCATTGACTCTAATTCCTCAATGTCCACTGTCTTTAAATAACCTTTAATTTTATCAAACATATAAATGTATTTTGCTTGAAAAGTCAAGTAGTATTACAAGTATTACAAATCTCTGACTGATCCCTATCCACTCCCACTTTCTAGAAGCAACCACTAAACACTTCCAGTATTTCTTCGGCCACTTGCTTACACTGCTGCGTATTCATTATCAGTTTGAGTATCATCTACCGATTTGCTATGATGAAGGTAAGAATGTATTTGCTCTTACACAACTTTCACAACATACTTCTGCTCCTTCCATCTTCCCAATATAGTTGTATCACCATCTTGTTAAATAATAAAGTAATGCTTGTTGGTATTATTGTAAATATCTAAATGTTATATACACCTGAACCACATAGTATACTATGATAAATTTCTTTCCTTCTACAACTTTTTGCTCTTTGGAGAGGTTAATATATTTTTGCTTTATTTTCTACATTACTAATTTTTCTTCAGACTTTCTAACAAAACTACAGCAGTGCCCCTTATCTGCAGTTTTGCTTCTATGGTTTTAGTTACCTGTGGTCAACTGAGGCCTGAAAATAAATGAAAAATTCCAGAAAAAAATCATTCATAAGGTTTAAATTGCGCACCATTCTGAAATCTCACACCTTCTCGCTCTGTCTCACCTGGGATGAGAATCACCCCTTTGTCCAGTGTATCCACACTGTGTACACTGCACTACTGTTAGCCACTTAGCAGCCATCCTGGTTATCAGATTGACTGTTGCGGTACCACAGTGCTTATGTTCAAGTTTCCCTTGTTTTACTCACTAATGGCCCCAACACACAAGAGTAGTGATTCTGGCTATTAGGAAATGCCAAAGAGACACTGTAAAGTGCTTCCTTCAATGAAAAGATATATATTGCATGTATGTATGTATGTATGTATGGGGGGAAAACATCCTATATATTATAAGTGTAGTATGCAAATTTTCCCCTCCACCAGGAGTTTGACCAGGGGGCAGGGCCAGCTCGGGGAAGGGAGGGAGTACCCAGCCAGCAGCTAGGGACCCTACCAGTGTATGAATTTCATGCATTGGGCCTCTAGGAGGATATATAAGGTTGGGTACTATCCACAGTTTTAGTTATCGAATAGGGGGTCTAGGAACATATCCCCCATGGGTAAGGAGGGACTACTGTATAAATAGCCTCTCAGTATATTCAAACCCATCAAGTAACCTATTGATTTTCTTTCTTTGCTGGAGACCTTTCTCCAGGAATGCTTTCTCCTCCGGCTCCAACCTCTAGTTGGATGTTGTGGCTATCACCCTATGACTTTGCTTCGCCATCATTCTAGGAATTCCCTTCACTATCTCGTGTGTTGGAGTCCTCTCTCTTGGAGTTCATTTATTCTTTTCTCTTTCTTTTTTTAAATCCTCACCCAAGGAGTAAGGATATTTTTTCCATTGGTTTTTTTTTAGAGAGAGTGGAAGGGAGAGGGGAGGGGAGAGAGACAGACATCATTGTGAGAGAAACACATCATTTGGTTGCCTCCTGCGCACACCCCAACTGGGGGGCAGGATTTGAACCTGCACCCCAGGTACATGCCCTTAACCGGAATTGAACCCAAAACCCTTCGGGTGTGCACCTAGCCATGCCGACCAGGGCCTTTCTTTTTCTTGGTTTCCTTCTTCAATGTGTTGAAACACATCTTTCAATAACTTCCTAAGAAATGGATGCATGTGAGGTAAAATTTTTGAAACCTTGGAATTCTGAAATGCCTCTATTCTACCTCGTCCATCATTTGATTATATTTGGCTTTAGGCAGATATATAGGTTGTAAATAATTTTCATTAGAATTTTGATGGCATTGCTTCATTTCCTAGTTTCCAAAGTTTCTGATGAGAAGCCTGATGCCATTCTGATTCCGGATCCTTTGTATGTGACCTGAAAAGCTTTTAGAAATGTCTTCTCTATTTTCCTAGTGTCAGTCTTATTCAATTATTATGCCACATACTAGTCATGCCCTTTTAATCTGAAAACCTAGACCTTTTGGCTCTAGGAAATGTTCTTGCATTCTCTCATGGGCGATTTCTTCTTCTCCATCTTCTTTGTGCTCTTTCTGGAACTCCTATTAGCCTTCTGCTTAGGGGAGGAGAGTCAGAGTGGGGAGGGGCTCTCTACAAAGACTTGCAACCAATCTTGTTTCCAGCTCTATTCTGAATCTCCAGCTTCTGAGGTCATTGGATGCTTCCAATTTGAGCATTTCAAGGTTTCTGCAGCATAAATCTGTAGCATGAATCAGCTGGCTTCTCATTGCCCTCTACCTACCCAGGCTTTCTGCAGTCCCTAAGTGTGTTACCACTTGACCTTTTGCTTTCTAGCTTCCAAAATCTTCATCATTTGTCTAGTGTTGCTACCCTTGCCCCCATCTCATCTTTGAGGCGTACTTTTCATTAATCCTTTACTACTCCTTTGTCAGAATTTTAAAAGGAAAGGAAGACTAATGCACGTGTTCCATCCACCATGTAAAGTGAAATCTCCCCACTCTCACTTTATAACTGACCTCTACCCTCACCTTGCATCTTCCACCACCCTATTGGACCTGCCATCTCAAAGGTCACCAATAATCTTCAAGCCATCAGTTCCGATTCATTTGTGCTCAGCTCACAGCCTCTTTGACATTTGTATGACCACTAGTGTTGATGAGCACACGGATAGTTTCTAGTTTGGGACTATTACAAGGAGCACTGCTTTGAACATTGTGGCATGTATCTTTCATAAACTTATGTTAGAATCTGTATTAGGTATATACGTAAAAGTGCAATATCTAGGTCAAAGTGTATGCAATATGTTCAGCTTTAGTAGTTACTATCAAAGCTTTCCAAAGCAGTTATACTTCCAGTGTTCACAGTATAAATTTTCCAATTTATGCTTCCTCCAGTAGGGTACTAGAGTTCCAGTTGCTCCACATCCTCTCCAATACTTGATATTTTTCTTTTTCTTTTTTTTAAATATATTTTTATTGATTTCAGAGAGGAAGGGAGAGGGAGAGAGAAACAGAAACATCAATGATGAGAGAGAACCACTGACCAGCTGTCTCCTGCACCCTCTCCCCCAACTGGGGACCAAGCCCACAACCCAGGCATGTGCCCCCTTGACTGCTTGAACCCGGGACCCTTCAGTCTTCAGGCTGACACTCTATCCACTGAGCCAAACTGGCTAGGGCGGTATTTTTCTTTTTCTTTCTTTCCCCCTCTCTTATTTAACAACTACTCCTCCCACTTCCCCTCCTGGTCCTCCTTTTTCATTTTAGCCATTCCGGTGGGTATGTAATGGCATCTCAGCTGTGATTTTAATTTGTATATCCCTGATGAATAATGAAGTTAGAGCACCTCTTCATATGTTCATTGGCTGTTTAGATTTCCTCACTTGTAAAGTGTCTGTTAAGGTTTTCCCCATTTTTCTATCGAGTTGTTTGCCTTTTTCTTCTTTATCTTTAAAAGTTCTTTATATGTTCTAACTACAAATTCTAACATCTAACATTATTGATCTGAAGCAGCTTTGGTTTATTGGAGGTTGAAAAACTAACTACCCTTAAACCATGTTTCCTTCATAGGTGTTTTTGTTCATCCTGCCCAATGTTATAAATGCATTAAATTCATCACCAACATTTTAAAAGTGGGTAAATTTTCAGCTTTCCAGATTTTCTTTTTAAAAAATCAGACAAAAATTTGACAATACCAAGCTCATAATCTTTCTTGGAAAAAGACTGTTTGAAATTTAGTAGCTGATTCCTTAGATGGAGCACACGTTCTCCAGGTAACCACCATCCCCTCCACTCCCTATTCTTAGGAGGGTCGTATTCAACTCTTATTCTACCGGCACAATCCTTATAGACACTTGAGTTTGTGACCTCTGGTTTATTATTTTTTAGCATTTGGGAAATTTTATGTTTATTCTTGTTTTAGTTAAGGGCAGTGCCCTTTATAGTGTTTAAGAATGGAATTCCCAAGAGAAAATTACTCTTCGTTTAAGAATCAGTTCAAATGTTTCTCTAGGAAATCTTTCTCAATTCTCTTACTTCTATACCCCTTACCCCAGGACCTATCTGGCTATATTCAGGTTATAATATTTGTATCTTTCTCCTCCTTAAGCCAGGAGCCCTTAAAAAGTAGAGACTCTGATTACCATGTGATATTCCCAGAACTTAGTGCAGAGATGCTCTAAGATGCTCAACTACTGTGTATGGAATAAATAAATCATAGATGATGGATGGCTGAAAATCAGACTGGATTATCATGCTGTCTTGGGGCAGTGAATTTAGACACAGAACCTAGAGAATACACGTTTCTCCCTAAGACCCTGAACGTGAAATGCAAATGACGGTCTAGCTAACCTGAACAGTTTCATCAAAACATGTTCACAAGTACACCAAGTGCACTGTCTTACCTAGCTTCTTGTTCACATCGCTTTGAGATTTTCTCGTGGACTTGTCGATTTCATCCACAAGCCTCTGGCTTTCTGCCACCAGGCGTTCGGACCGGGACCTTTCAGCCTCTGCTTTGTGGTACTGGCTCTTGTTAGCAAGGTGCCACTCGGAGGGCAGGAACTTCGGTGGAGCTTGGAGTAGTTTGGCCATTTGACCAAAGGCAGACTTCTTTTAGATTAAGTAAAATCCCTGGAAGAGAAAGCAATTTGTCCTTTTTTAAATGTCCATTTTTTTATGTGATATACATACCAAAAAGTGCATAAATCATAATCTGTACACAGAATGAACACATCTGTGTAGCCAGCATCCAGATCAAGAAATAAGCATTACCAGCACCTCATGCCTCTTTCTAGTCACTATTCTCCACCCCCACCCCCACAGGGTACCACTATCCTGACTTTTAACACTATAAATTAGTTTTGTTGTTTTTGAACTTCATATAAATGGAATCATACAGTATGTACTCTTTTGTATCTGACTTCTTTTACTCAACATTATGTTGGTAAGATACATCCGTATTGTTCATATAGTTGTAGTTGGTTCATTCTCATTGCAGTGTAGTATACCATTGTATAAATATACCAAAATGTATCTGTCTTTTCTACTGTTTATGAGTATTTGTGCTGTTGTTTGTTTGGGGCCTATCATGAGAATGCTAAAAAGATTCTCCTACCTGTCTTTTGGTGAACACATTCGTGTATTTTTATGACTTATTAGAATGGGGAGTGTTCAATTTTACTAGATACTGATACACAGATGAACCCAGACATGTTTTCTTTAAAAATGAACACATACAATTATCTGTAAACTAGCAACTGGATATTGAGCCTATTTAGCAGATAGGAGAATCTAAAAACTTCCCAGGACAAAGAAAAGGAGAGAACAGTAAGGGGAACACATGAGTCCACAGCAACAGAAAGACTAAATCCCCACCCACCCCACCTGCCCCACTCGAATCCCTACCCAAAAAACTGAGCGCCTGCCCTTAGGAGTGTCTGGATCTCCGAAGCCCTTCAAACATGCAAGGATGGAACCTGGTCAGATCTTGACCAGGCTGAGCACCCCAGGAAACTCAGCCTCGACAGACAGCATGGAGTCTCCCCCTTTCTTCCCTCTTACAGTCTCTCCCAAATTTGCCTGAGCGTGACGCTCAAACTGAACACAAGACTCCTGAAGAAATCTGAGAAGCCTCGGGAAAAAATCGAAATTAGACCTAAATTAGGGCTGAACCCAGCAGGCATAAGACTTTGAGTAGGGCTGAGGGCTGCAGTTAAGGGTTGACGGGGTGGGGCCGGGATGTACTTACCGCAGCGCCGCCACGAAGAACAACTACACCGGCTCCGAATAAGAGCTTCCTAATCCCAACTGCAGTTCCCGGCTCTCGCAGAAGAGGAAGGTAAACAACGAAGTCTCCATGGCAACGGGTGACGCTTGTGCCCAGGGCAAAGGGGGCGGGGTCCGGCGCGAAGCACCTTCTCCCGAAGGCTCTGCGCAGGCGCGAATTCTATAGTCCTCAGCGCAGGAGATACAGGATTGTGGCCTGGGGGCCGTAGAGCCGATGCTCGGCCATCTCAACTTCTCACAAAGACGTGGGACACCAAGCAGGGGAGACCCACCAGCTATAGGCCGGCCGCGGGCTGGGTTACTCGGGCCGCGCTGCTCCCGCTGGGTTTCGGACTCCCCACGTGTACAGCCGGGTTGGGCTGGCTGGACGATACCGATACCGTAAGGTGTTCGCAGGCAGGCCCAGGTGCACTAGGCCACAGAGCCGGCGCGGCCGGGAAGAGACGTGAGAGATTTCTAGGCTTCTCACAACCAGGAGGGGCAAAGGGGTTGGAGGTGGGAGGAGATGCCGGAACCCAGGGCCCAAGCCTGGCGCTTCGGGGTGGCTGTGTCCAACCCAGAGCTGAGGTTGGAGCTCCCAAGCGAACAGCCCAGTGCTCGGAATATGCGCCTTCTGGCTGTTGTACTGGTCAAGTACTAATGTGTAAAAACACAGTGGGGAGAATGCGGATTGGGAATGCTTACCTAGGTCCTGGTCCACACACAAAGTAGGTATTCAAATCTCCCGCGCACTTCACCACCTCACACCAGCCAATGGAAGGCAGCGTTCCTCCGAAGTCAACCAATCAGAGGAGGTCTTGCCTCTCAAAGCCCGCCCCCTACTTCTCGCAGGCTGTTCGGAAAGTCCTGACGCACCGCAAAGCTTCAGGAATATTAGACACGACGCCTGTCCAGCAGCGTGAGGAGCATCTACTTACCAGCGCGGGTAGGCTGGCTCCCACTAGGCCCCCAGCGGGGGAGTACCCAGCCCTGGTTCTGAGGTCGGGGTTCAGGACGCTGTGCCCGGGTTTCCCATCGTGGGAAGACGAGCGCGCGTCCCGCCTCAGCACTGATTTAGCACCGACACCTAAGAAGGTGGTCCTGCTCCCGCCTGGACGGGGCGGGCGGGCTCGGTCAGTGGTCAGAGCGCGGCCAACAGGCTTGCGGGGAGGTGCTCGCTGCGGGGGATGGGGTCCCGGGAGACTCAGCGTCCTGGTGGCGGGAGCCAGCGGTGAATGGTCTCTGCGGTTTGCTCTCGGTCAGTGGTCAGAGCGCGGCCAGCAGGCTTGCGAGGAGGTGCTCGCTGCGGGGGATGGGTTGAGGGGTCCCGGGAGACGCCGTCTGCTTAGGCGATTAGGGGCGCAGCGGCCTGATGGCGGGAGCCAGCGGTGAATGGTCTCTGCGGTTTGCTAATCACGCCCCGCCTTGGAGGCCAGGCCCTGGGATCGCCTCCCAGTTTACAGAAGGGGAATTTTCTTGGAACTGTTGGAAACATGATAGAATTGGCAAAAGTACATGACATTAACTATTTGAGTAATAATCATACATCACCATTGTCGTTTTTTGTCAGTATGCAAGTTTAATTTTCCCTCTCCCCCTTGGGTTAGAAAAACCTTGCAGGGCAGTAGTTCTCAACCTTCCTAATGCCGCGACCCTTTAGTACAGTTCCTCGTGTTGTGGTGACCCCCAACCATAAAATTATTTTCGTTGCTACTTCATAACTGTAATTTTGCTACTGTTATGAATCGTAATGTAAATATCTGATATGCAGGATGTATTTTCATTGTTACAAATTGAACATAATTAAAGCATAGTGATTAATCACAACAATATGTAATTATATATGTGTTTTCCGATGGTCTTAGGCAACCCTGTGAAAGGGTCGTTCGACCCCCAAAGGGGTCGCGACCCACAGGTTGAGAACCGCATGTGCAGGGGATAGAGAAACCTTGACGCTGCACCCAAGAACTAAGGCTAATAGTTGAGTCAAATCATCTCTCCTCCGCTGGAGGCTGCCCTCTGAAAGCTCTAAACTTGATAGTGGTGCATCTCTTTCTTGATGTGCTTTAAAAAAATAAAGTTTAAAAATTTAAAAAAAAAAACTCTTCCTTCAGCTATTTATTCTGGAGTAGAAACCTTGACGCTGCACCCAAGAACTAAGGCTGATAGTTGAGTCAAATCATCTCTTCTCCACTGGAGGCTGCCCTCTGAAAGCTCTAAACTTAATGGTGGTGCATCTCTTTCTTGATGTGCTTTAAAAAATTAAAGTTTAAAAATTAAAAAAAAAACTCTTCCTTCAGCTATTTATTCTGGAGTTTAAGTGTACTTGAAAGTATTTGAAAATATTTTCAAAAGAGAAACCTTATTTTGCTTGCACACACACACACAAAGGAATGCGTCCAATAGAGGAAGTGTGGAACAACTTATCAATAATTACTCAGTGTCTCTTTGGCACCAGTATATGGCTGAATGGCATGTAAAGCAGTTATCAAGCACAGAGCTTAGAGTTTGCTATCTTAGGGAGTACAACCAAAGCTTATATTTAAAGTAGAACTATTTAAGTGAGGTACATTAGGTTTCTAAGTGGTTTTGAGATATTTTTGGTTGGAATAAAGCTATATTTCCCAAACTTCAGTCATTCTAGTACCAACTTCTAAATTTTATTGTTGTTGTTGTTAATCCTCACCTGAGGTTTTTTTAATTGATTTTTTAAAAGAATGGGAGAGGGAGAGACAGAGAAACATCCATGTGAGAGCGACACATCGATTGGTTGCCTCCCACATGTTGGGGTTGGGGATCCGGGCTGGGTATCAAGCAGGGGCCAAGGTACATGCCTTTGACCAGAATCGAACCTGCAATCCTTCAGTCCAAGGGCCGATGCTCTAACCACTGAGCAACTGGCTAGGGTCAACTTTTTTACATACCCATACACCACCTGTAAAATTGGTGTTTGTCTTCAGATACACTCATTTTACATGTAAGCATAATTATTTTTAAAGAAGACTTTACATCCCTACCATAAATGGAAAACTAGCATCAGTTGCATGATAGAGAGTAACCATAAAAATAATAGGAAACAAAACAATATCCTAAAATTTGATATTGATTAAAAACAAAGATAAAAGTAATGTTAAATCTAACCTTTTGATTTGTTAAACTCACATCTGCAAGCAAGTTTCTCAATAAGATTGAGCCTATAGATATTTGACTTGATTTATTCATTTAAGACTATGTACTTCTTTTTTACTTCTGGTGTTTATCAGACTAGCAATCGCAAATCACTAGTAAACATATTTACAAAGGTTAAAAGATGCAATGACTCCCCAAACTTGGTGACTTTGGTCCAGCAGGGAGCTAGGACATGTAATCCTTCTATGGGCCCAAGGACAAAAGGAGACCCAGATATGGTGAACCCAGAAATTTCTAGCATAAAGTCCTTTAGTTATCTGGCCTCACCTCTTGACACTTCCTCCCTGGGATTGAAGGGTTTTAATCAGGAAACCACGTTGATTTTAAATAGCTACAACGAGTATAGGTCTTTTTCCACTATTGGCCTCTTCCTGTGTGAGTCCTGACCAGGCAACTCTGAGTGTAGGTGTGACAAGGCTTTCGGGCAAATACCCCAAGTCCATTCTGTGTCCACCGGGAGAAGGAAAATACCAGAGAAAAATGAAGTCAGAGGATAGATCCAGGAGATTTAATATTTGTCAAGTGGAACTTCCAGCAGGAGGAAAAAATCAGAATGGCAAACAAAGATGGAGAGAGAATGTCCTTGAGCTGAAGACTCAAGTCTTTGGATTGCAACACCCACTTGAAATAATTCTCTCTCCCTCTCTCTCTCCCCCTAGTCTGCTGAAATTTCTTAATTCAAAGAATAAGGAGGAAAGGAATGAGTAAGTATCATCTTTTCACCTATAACATAGATTGCTAAAATAATGTCTTCAAAATTCTAGAGAAAATAATTTCAAATCTGGAATTCTGTAACCAGTTTAAAAAAATCTTAAGTATGAAGGCAAAATAAAGATATTTTTGGACATCTAAGTACCCTAAAAGTTGGACATATACTCTTTTTTGGGGGGGATTAATAGAGCAAACGTGAAAACCCTGGGCAGAGGAGACATTGACTATAAGAAATAGTGGAACCAACTGAGCTGTATGATGAAAAGAAGCCTCCGTTTAAGAGCCGTATAACTGGAACACAACCAGTTCACACTGCAACTGCAAGAAGAGTTCTTGAAGAATACCTTTAAGAATTTCAGGAACTATGATTCATAACCCAGAAGTATAACCACATACTCCTGGTGAGCTGAAATTATATCTCTTCTGATCAATAAAAGGAAAGACAAATAAAAATTCCGAGAAAATTAAAAAGCTGTACCAGAAAGTTATAACTATGAAGAAGCTTTACATTTGGTGTGATTTTTTTCAGAGTAACATATGAACCATGAGAGATGGTTGGTGCCAGGTGTCACCACCCCTTCCATGAAGACGTTTCCTGACCACCCAGCTGAACTCACTCGCTCTCGAAATGATTCACTGATTCATTCCACAAAGACTTGTTGATCACTGTCTGAACTTATTGTCTGAATTCACTAACTCATTCATTAATTTTCCCAAGTAGTTATTGAACATCTTCTAAGCTCTGGGACCTGTGCTTCACACTGAGGATAGTCCCTGCCTTTTTATGGAATTTATGATCTAGCTCTATTTGACTCTGATTCAAATGATACCATCTATTTTGTAAATGCATTATTTTTACATCTTATTTTTTCCTGGGTAGAAGAGTCGAAGTCTTAATTTATCTTTGCATTAACCTAAAAATAACCTACAAGAGAAGATTGATTAGATAAATTATGAAACAGTCATAGAGTGGGATACTTTTCAACTGTAAAATGTATAACTAGGAATTTTTTTATATTTTTATATGGAATAACCACCCGGATATATTAAATGAAAAAAAAGGAAGGTTCAGGAAAGTATATAGAGGACTCTATCATTATTATCATAGAAAACAAGTAAAATGTACTTCCTTGAATACACATGGAATTTCTCTAGAAAGATACATAAAAAACTAGTAGCATTGGGGTTGCCCCTACTAAGGGATCTACATGGCTGGG